TTTAATATATTTATTTTAGCAATTTTAGCATAAATTTTATTAAAATTAAATATTTTATATATAACATTTAGATTTAAATGTTTAAAACTTTTTTGTTGTTAAATTTAGTTAAGTGAAAGTTTATGTTTAATTTTATTAGAAAACTTTTAAGAGTTGATAAATATAAAATTTAATGGTAAAGATATTGCTTATTTAAGTGCTAAATTCCATTTTTCAAACCAATTATGTCATGATGAATAATTTAGGAAATATTCAAGAACGTGTAAATTAAATTTTCGTTTCATGCAACTACTTTAAATATATTAAATTACATTTCATTAAATTTTAATGTTATAATTGTATTTAAATAATAAAAATTGATTAAAGTTTTAATGGAATAAAATTATTTTAAATATTATATTTCATTTTTAATCATAATTTTTGTTAATAGATGACGCCACGATTAAATTTTTCGTGGCGTCATCTGTTAGTAGAATAAATCATAAATGATTTTAAGAATGAATTTAATTAAATTTGTATATTTTAAATTTAAATTTTTAAAGTAATTTATTTGAAATTAGTATATGCTTCTTTTTATGACATCATTGCACACTTCTCCCATTATAGAAAATGCTAACTGTTTGGTAAAAATAATTAAATAAGTTTAATTGATTATAGAAAAAATGTGTGTTCGGTAGCCCAAAAGTCAGTCAACCATTTGTAAAAATTAAATTTCTGTCTTCTTTAATACTTAATCATATTTTCTATCATTCTTCCAGTAATTTTGTAAAAAAAAAAAAATATTCGTGTTCACAAGTGTACCTGAAACACGCGAAAACAAAGCTCAGTTAACTAACGTTTGACCATCCTATATATATATGTGTGTGGGGAGCATGTCCTAACGAAGTATCGACTTTCTATGAGAAAATGACCCCCTATTTAAGTGTTTGATACGTAGAAAACACGGAAAACTTCACGTGAAGACCATTGGTGCGTTCGAACCCGTGACCAGTGTTCAGTGGTTTTATCCACTCGACCGCTCATGAGCAGAAGAATAAAGGAGTCAAAGGAGAGAGAAGGATAACTGTAGTGTAGAAGCTGATGTTATCCTGCTCTTCTCGTCTTTTCCTTTTCAATTCCAAATATATAATATAGCCTATATGTATAATGTTCATTCTATCTCTTTTTCTCTAAGTGGATCTCCTATTCAAAAGATCAATGAATAATTTTTTTCCAGGTTTTACTATTCAGCATTCAATGTGCCTGTATTTTCCTGCGGTCTCTCTTTTTATCTTCGAATATAAAAAATTATATTCATTAGTTTTCTGTTTATCATTCCGTCGATGTCATCATCATCATTCAACATTTAGCAAGTTATAAATATATACAGTACTATATTTAACCCTAGACATCTTCCTTCCACACATTAACAAATAAAGTGACTGCTATTATACAAGCTATACAGTTTACAATGTATTATACCATTACGATCGTTATTTACAAACGCAAAATATATTTTATACATTTATAAGATGACCTTTATAAAATATAATCATTGCTTGTTCAATTTTCCAAGTTGGATTTTTTAAAAAATGACCGTAATAAATTCTGCTCGTAATATAAGTAAATTGACAAAAATAGAAAAAATCGATAACTTTAAAAAAATTCTATAAAAATTATCGAAAAATCAAAAAATTAATTACATTGTCCATGTTTAAAATTAATATAATTTATTATTATATTAATTTATAGATAATAATTTAATTATAAATAACATACGAGCTTCGTATCTATTCACAGGAAACTTCAAGATCTCGAAGTAATGGGACGAGAACCCACGACATTCATCTATTTAATGGAGCTACGTTATATAAAACTTGTGACCCTGCGTAATGCTTCTGATGTGTTTTGTGATACTCTTTCGAGGTTTACAAATTTGAAACATGCTTTCGATAAACCACACATTTTCATTGCTTGTAGCGCCAAAAGTGTGGCCGTAGTGACGAGTTTCGGTACTAATTTGTTTTCCTCGTGTCTTGATTTGTCACCATACGAAATTTGATTGCATTTGTACTGCTAAATATCTCTCTAGACAGCGATAAATAGGGATACTTTAATTACGATTACCCGATATAAATATTCTACCGAAAGATCAATTTAATTAATACTAAAGTTAAGCCGAATAATTATTTCTCTGATGTTTATCATTTCTTAAATTTATTTCTGAAACTAAACTAAAAATATAATTTATTTTAAAGCATTATCGACCAGATAATCTCCTGGTAAGATGTGAATCGAGTGCCGTAAGGATCCAAAAATTAATCCACATCCTGACGATTTCAGGAGAATTCCAGTAGATGGTATTGAGACTAGCTGAATCTACGGGCATATATATTTTGAGGACATGTATACAAATTCAACGAGGTCTCGTAACGTGAGGCCATAAGCTTTAGCTTGCTTACCTTATACATAATTTCGGCTCTGCTATTATCCTTTCAGTAGTAATGAATACAGTACAGTAGACTCGCTTTACGACCGCTAGCTTTTTAAACTCTGGCTTTAACGATTAGTATTTTCTGTTATAACTATAAAATGCCATATTTAAACTCTATAATTGTTGCTGTATATTATCGGTATTATAACTGCATTTCTCAGAACGTAATCTCAATTAATAATGCTAAACTTGATTAAAAAGGGCTCGTTTTTCAGGAATCAGTTAAGTCGTAAGAGCGGAGATTCTACATAAATAGCTTATAAAGTTTATTAAATTATAAATAAATCTTTATTCGAATATATTTACATCGAAATAAAATACTTAAAGTAAATTATGCATTTCAATTAAAAAGTTAGCATAAATATATGCGCAAGTTATTCTATTCTACAGAAATTAGAATTATATTTTTAATTAAAATTAATTTTTAGAATATTTAAATGAGTTTCCATTCGATAATCTTACTTTTCTTCTTGTTTTTATCCATCTTGTTAGCATTTTTTTTTTGTTTTTGTTTTTTGTATTTTCCTTTTATGTTATTTGTCTTGTTCTTTGTTTTGTTCTTCTCTCTTTTTTTTTTTAATTATAGTTTTCGTTCTTCTTCTTGTTTCGGTTCTCATTCACATTCTTCTTAATTTTTTTTATGTTCCAGTTCTGTTCTTCGTCATCTTCTAATTCTCATCCTCTTCGTTCTTGTCCTCCTTCTTCTTTGTTTTGTTCCAGATCTCATCCTTTTTCTTCATCTTATTCTAATTGTCTTTGTTATAGTTCTTGGATTCCTATTCCTCCTTCTTCTTGTTCTATCCTTCTGCTTCGTGTTCCTCCTTCTTTAAATTTTTAACTACTTTATTATTACATAAATTACAATTTAAGAAACATTATAAAAATCTTTAACCAAATTTTAACTCATCTATAACTAAATTTTTTCTTATGTAGCGTAAATTTCATACCATATATTTTATCCGCTTTCATCTAAAACTCATTTCGATGCTATATGTTTTTATTTAAAAAAATGAAAAAAAAATAAAAATAAAAAAAGTAATGCGATTAGAAGAGAAAAAATGTTTGGTTTTTCCATTTCAATATAATTTAATCAAGTTGAAAGAATAGTTTTATAAATCTTCCATACGTAAATAATGTTATACAATTTTCCAAATTGTATCGAAAACTTAATTTGTATTCGTAGTAGAACCATTAGTAAATGATAAAAGAAAGGATAATAAAGAAAGGAAAAGCATTTCTGTTAAGGAATTTCTTCAGTTAAAAGTTAAATAAGAAAAAAATAAACGAGATTAACCTCCTGTTTTTTTAAGATTCCACATTCTAAATATTAAATTTAAATAACTATTTTATGAAATTACGTGCTTTGAATATTAATTATTGTTTTTTTTACAATTAAATTAAATTAAAATTAAATGTATAATCGACCCGATAAACGTTATTAATCAAATGATAAAGCCGGATTTTTATCGGGCTATTGTAAGGCTAATTATGTTAATTAAATATTAAGTAATTTGGTAGAGGTAGGAAGTTAAATTGCTATCTTGTATTAATTTTAATAATCAGAAATAAATTAATTTAATTGTATTTAATATATTAAATCATTACAATTAAATTGTTTACAATTCTAAATTTTTATTATTTAATATTCAAATTAACTGTANTCGCTATTAATAAGCTTAATTTTAATATCACCGGTATATGACCGAATTAATAATTATTATTTAAAAATTAATTATAATATATCAATTTAATTATAATGAAAAATTTGAAAAACTATTCAGAGTAATTAAGTCAAAGTTAGGAACAAAGAACGGTTGTTGTTGAGAGGTGGACGTTGTTTGGAGGTTATTTCGTTCGCATTTTTGTTAGAAAAAATACGTTCCGGCATAACAAGTTATTTTCATTTTAGTATTAACATTTTATTGAAGCACCCTGCATAAGGAATTACGCTCCTATAAAGCAGTTTCCATTGCTTAAAATATATAATTAAATTATAAAAAAATATAGTAAAATTATTCAAGAACTAGATACTGTACAACATACTGATGCTTAGAACAGGTAGAATTATGCGAATTTGGAATTACTTGTTACGTTGTTTAATAATTATTTCTTAAATAATCATTTTAGTAACTCCAGTTTATCCAGTTTATATAGTAATGACCCTAAACGTCGTTATATTACATTTTTCCTTGTTGGGCTGCAATTTGAAAAAAACTGTAGACGTAAATTCCCACTGTTGTCCGTTCGTTATCAGTCTGTCCTTCGTTAATCTCAAAAATAGTGTTAAATAGATGAAAGTCAAGATTAGGTGTGGTAATTTAGGGGCAGGAAACACCCGATTAGCTGTATACAAACTATATATGTGAATTTAATTCAAAAATGGTTTTTTCCCCAGAATGGTGTTACATAGATGATTGGCATGACTCTGTTGTTATCAGGAAAAGTATGATGTACAGGGGAAAGTCATTACTAATTTGAGGTGGAAAGCATATATTTTAAACTAAATAAATTAAGAATATGATTAAAAATTGCAGTCCGGTATTGTGACGATGTCAAAATTGCTCGTGGATTATAATATACATTGATCGAACGTGGCGTTTAATTAAAAATATTTTTTCATTTATTAAAGTAAATAAATGTTATTTTTTAAAACGTCATTATTAGCATATTGTCTTCAATTACATATAATCATTAATAAACACTCTCTAGATGAAGTACAAGTTACTAATTTATCGACTTGTTTACATGCTAGATGTATTTTAATGAATTAATTTAAATGTGAACTTGTTTTCTAAATTATTTAGGACTATTAAGGCATGCGATTGTGATTAAATGACCATAGATTATGATGGATATCGAAGAATATTTGATGTAATTTGATCTAAGATTTGGTATAAATAGAATCACTTTCAAGTATAAAGGCTCAAATTGTCTTTGTAAAAATGGTATACAAGTTGTATTCGAATGCCCGGCACAAGTTCTTTGGAACAACGTAACTTTTCAATTCTTGCATTCGAATAAAATATTTTTACTTATGTAAAAGTGATTTATTATACAAGACATTTATCTAATGGTTTTTAAAAATACAAAAACCTGTTCAATAATAGAAAACTGCCAAAACGGAAAAATAATTTGGTACTGTGCAATTCCGGTTTAAACAAATTTTTACTGTATGTTTTCTTATATTTTACTGTGTAATTAATTTTTCATTATAACGTTATAAATATTTATATTAAAATTTTAAACTGTGTTTAGCAACTGGCTACAAAATCGATAGTCCTGTTCTGTCAATATTTTTTAAAACTCAACAAGTTTACCTCGAAACTAAGTTGCAGATGAAATTAGAAAACGGCACGAAACATTGTTAACTTTACGGAAATTTTCGATTTTAATTAATATAAAAATAAAGTATATGTGAAGTAATAAAGCGATGCAAATTCTTTACTCGGGATAACAAGGGATGACCGAGTGAGCTGTGTTGTAAAAGACCCTCAGCGGTGTGCGATGACAATTTTCAAAAGGGACTAGATGCGAGAAAATTTATTTTTTATATATTATAAGAATTACTGTTTTGCTTAAACACATGGAAAAAAATTCGTTTTATTCGCACATCATTTGCACCTACATTTTATTTTCCCAGCTCTATTGTATATAATAGAGGATAAGTATGACGATCGGTAAAAAATAGCCTCTCAATATTTTTACATTTTTGGATTTGGGGGACCTTGAAACGCCGAGAAATGAAAAATATTCGGGGGTTTTTTTTGTATGCATGGATGTGTGGGGGCGATTTTGTTTACCCTCTTTGAAGCTTAATAACTCGTGTCTTTTGTCGAAAATTTCTGAAATTTTTCAGGGAGGCTCGTGTATTAAGGGAAATGATGCTAGTAAATTTTGATGGTTAAAAGTTGAGGGGTGAGAAAGTAAAGGGAGGGCCGTGTCATACCTTCTGTAGGTTGGAGTTAATCATTATTTTATTCGTTATTAGCATTCACATTTTTTTTTTTTTTTTTTTGCAGCATCTACAAAATATGCCTTCTCCTGTCTACGAAGGTTTGTTTACAAGTGTATTCATAAGACAAGTCCATTACTAATAATATCGTTTAAAGAATCAGAATTAGTTCAAAGGTTTCAGTGATTTTCTTGTGTAAAATTCCAAGGGCTATTTTTTATTTTTGACTCTGTCGACTTTGTGGGTACTTAAAGTTTACGTTGTTAACACCCGGGTGGTAAGGGACATGGATCAACCAATTCATAAAAAGTTCTTGAGGAATTAATCACCCTAATTTGATCCTGGTTCCTCAGAGTGGTAGGCTGATGCCTGCAGTTTTAGGGAGTTCGCCTAATCGTAGTTATTAGTTGAATATTAAAATTCGGCACTAAGATTTACTAAGAT